GCTTGGGGATAGCTACACATGCTGTATGGTGTGCAGTACATTCTAAAGGGGCAGTAGTGTGAACATCCCCCTGTCTGTGGACATGCAGTGTGTTGATCAGCTGTTCACTAACACTACTACTTCTGGAGCATATAGCCACTGTATTAGCCCATGCATGAATGAAGGAAGCATTATCTTGCACTTTTGATGTCCCGACTAGTGTCGGGATGTAGAACAGTGTGTTTGATCACCATGTTCTGGCATTAGATACACTTCTCATAATATTACATACAGGTAACTTAGACCTCACAGCAGAAATTCTGCTAATTTTGCAACTACGCACCGTTTCCCAGGGCCAATAGAGTGATCCCAGCAATACTTGGAGAGAGTTTCAGCTTCTCTGATAGAAATATCAGTGGGGGGACAAAGAAATTGTCCACCTTCAAAGACACAATGTTAAAGGTTTTATAGTTTACAAACAGTTATAAGGGCTACATACTGTTGTAGCAAGAAGAGATATGAGGTAGACACTCCAAAGAGCCAGCATGATGTACCCAACGGGCTGTACATGGCAAAAAGCATTTAAAATTTCCCCACACTCTGAACTGATATTAACATACCGCAGCGCTTCGGGGCAAATCACATTCCATGAAAGCGAGATAGTTCATGAGGTGGGCCTTGGACTGGCAGTTTTCCCTCACAAACTTACAGCCACTGGAGTTGTAACCATATGAAGAATCATAGAGTTTTGAGCAGTTCCAGAGGGTTAAGGATCTATTGTCAGACTTTCCGCCACGATTATCTTGTCTCAGATGGTGGCCAGCACTTTCACTCCTAGGAGCTAGTCCTACTCCTTCAACTCTACCAGAAACATCTCTAGTAACAAGCCCTAGGCCGACATCTGTATCATCTGGAGGACTAGTAGGTAGTGCATGTGGCTGATAACTGGCAGAAGAAGCTGACTCGCTCATCCATTTGACTTGTGGTGTTCTGCTGTCTTCATGACTCCCAGCTACCAACACTATCACAGAGAAGAAGAGGGAGAAAAGTGGAGACTCCAGCATTTTGCTCTTCCAGCTCCAGGTTTGCTGAGTGTAGCTTGTTTCAGGTCTCACTGGTCGCAGTGAGGTGTAACTCGGTCTCAGTGAGGTGTAGCAACTAATTGGCAGGCTCCACCTTCTCTCCTCTTCACCTGGATGACCTCAGAGGCCATTCACTGCAGCACAAAGACTCTATGGCCAGTCCAATCTAGTACTCACAGACAATTGAATCATTTGTACTCTCAAATGTTTGCAGAAAAGTCAGAGTCTGGGCTCACCATCCACAATTCAGTTGGTATATTACTGGCTTGCTAGTACACCAAGTGGTAGACTACTGGAATAAACTGCAGTTGTAGAGTCTGGTGCTGCACCGGACTATATAGTAGCTAATGTTTCCAGTTTGCAACTGAGTGTATATCATACACAAGAGTAGGGATGTGACGACACTAGGTAAATTGACTGGACATGTAGTGTATGTAGTGCTAATTTCCCACCTAATCTCCATGCATTGCCAATATTATATCACATTGTCAACTACAACCCTCTGTACAACATCTTAGTAGCGGCGCTAAGGAAGCGCGCGTCGTGGCAGCATGCGCGGATTTCGACGAGTTCAAACTACGCATGCGCAGTTGAAATATGTGTGCTCGATGGCTATTATATGATTTTCACCCCTAATCTGATGTTGGTTGGTCAATTTAAAAGCAGAAGTGTGGACCCATAAGTACATTAAAAAGTGCATCTTGATTCCAAGTGGCACATGGCTTTGAAAATGTACTTTGCTTCATTCTGAATTCGAGTCGGTATTATAGGGGTGGAATCTCACGTGATCCGCGTACAAAACGACTGTGAGAATCACTCCCTAGGCCTTCAAAACATACTAGCAACAGTCTACGGACCAATATCTACCTATACATGTCCCCCAAGACCTCATACGCACTTTCAGTCGTCCACGCGAGAATTCGCTCATACGTTATTTCACGATTTTCATGTCATCATAATTATTCCTCATCTTCTTCTTCTGTTTTTTTCACTGAAGGTCTCCAATTTCGCCGGAGGTGTGCACGGACATCAAGCGATCGTTTCTTTCTTGCCGCTAGTCACTACAGTAGATCATGTCGACACTGAACAACGCCATTTGCTGCTAACTCAGCATCAGTGAGCCGCGCGCATTGGGCGTTGTCCAATGCGCTTTCGAGCGTATTACTAGGCGAATGGGCAGATCTGCAGAGGAACTCTCAGCCTCTAGTACCTTCTGTAAGTAAGTGTGCACATTTCCAACTGGCTAGCTTGCTGTTGATTTGCACGAAGAGCAACTTGGCAGAGTCTGAGCGGTGCTACGCGAGCCTTGCGGGGCGCTCAGTCAAACCGGCCTTCATTGTTTGTCCCCCCCCAGGTTGTATATAGCCTGATTATATACCAAAGCCTGCCCATGAAACCACAACCATGTGCAATAACATCCTTGTTGAAGACAATGCATGAGGTGAATGCGGTATCTAGCCCCTGCTTCAGGCACTAGCAGCCCCATTATACTACTTTCAACAGTTACAATTTGTCTATGGTAGCCTATCTACAACATACCCATGAACATCAGAGTGACTGTAACAGTGTTGTCCATAACTGTAAAAATAGTGGAAACAGTAGTGTGATTACTCCTGCAGCTATTTATTGTAGTGTATCCAACTTTAGTGTAGACTCCATTTCCAGTAGATCTCCATACCTGTAGCTCTGTAAAAAAGCTGTTCTGTCCTACCCACTGGGCTCCAAACACCCATGCAGCTCTGAATACTGCCATTGCATGTGAAGCCAACTTCAGGATATATTACTTGAAATTTGTTAGCAAATGCTAGGGTCCCAATATTGCCTAGTAATCTATCCATTCTGTCAAGACTCGTAAACCCACGAGTGCAACCATCACCTGGGGAAAGATATTCCAATCCGAGAGCTGGGCTATCCACAGCTAAAATCGCATACCGTCTCTCCTTCAGTCCATACACTGGCAGAAGAGAGCGAGAGCAACACGCACGCAGTAACACACGTGTTGTTAGTAGGTTCTCCATGTTCGTCGCCACCCTCTGTCGCAGCCGCACCTCTCATCACCTGTGTTATATCCGCGAAACTCGGTAGCGCATGCGCGCGCGTTAATACACGCCCGCTGCACGTTATTATACACAGAGTGGAAATCATTTCTCTATTTCTTCAAAATGAAGAAGATGATAGAGGGATGTCTTGAGCACCAAAAAGGAGAAATAAGGGGTCATTACACAGCAGTTGCACAAAGCTAATGACAGTCCCGATCTCTATTATTATCTTTGTTTTAGTGTTTATAAGTCAAATGTTTAATATCGACCAAAGATATAGGGATGGTGTCATGTAGCTTTGTGCAACTTTGCTGTGTAATGACCCCTTCTTCCTTTTTGGTGCTTCAAGCCATCCCCATTTCCCCCTTTCATTTTGAAGAAATGATTTTTCCACTTGTATATACACTTACTGGCTACCAGTCTTTTACTAACACTGGAGGTGGACACTAATTCCAGCGTATTTGTATGAGAGTCAGTGCCAACCCAGCCTGTATAGTATTGTCTGCCACCTAGTCTCTGCATGCACTCACTTCCTGCTTTGTTTTATTGATCACATTGTGATAGTCTATGCCTTAGGCACATAGGAAAGAGTATGAAAGCAAACATACACTGACATCAATTATGCAGTCTCATATAAAGGGTTTTCAAATTTGGCGTATTCACCAGGTGAAGGAGGGGGCTCTTCAGTCTTAGTGACTTCACTATAAACTCCGCCATTTTCAGAAGGTACATCATACACACCATCTCGCCTTCCCTCATCCCGTCCAGGGAAGTCATTGAGTTCTTCCAGTGGTATAGTGGATGCAGTAGGGTCTGCACCTGAACCACACACCTGTTGGTCATATATTATGTATCCATGTGACATAATATGTATCCATGTGAGATAATAATCCCTTAGAGATTAACAAACTGTGAAAGTTCCAGTTACCCCTATAGGAGTGCATCTGTTGGCAAGCAAGTTGCTCATGCACTTAAGTATATATGGCACATGGTATGTAGCAGAACCATAAAGCTTCCAGACTAAAGATATAATGAAATGTACGTAGTATCTATGGTGCACTACACTCCGGACTGCCTATGTAAACTGGGTTGTCCCTAGCACTGCCACCATTTCTATCCTTCGTGCTCCACGGCTTGGGGCTTTCCTTTCTGCTTTCCTTTATTGACAAACACCACCAACAATGACAAGACGAGGACTATCAGTAGAACCAGAGCCACAGCCACTCCACCACCACCACACCAGCAGCAATGGCATGCTGAAGACTGGCCAGAGAGAGAGAGGAGGGCTGGTCGGTGGAAGTATAGCGCAGCTCTGGAGGTGGGGAGAGGGCTGGTAGCTGTGGAGATCAGTGATGAGCTGGGGACTGTCTCGGCCGAGGTTATGGAGGCCAGTGAAGAGCTGGGGTGAAGGGTAGCCGTGGAAGCCAGTGAAGAGCTGGGTGGAGGTAGCCGTGGACGCCATTGAGGAGCTGATATAATCTGGAGAGGAAGGAGACTGTTGTAAATGGGCAAAGAAATGACTCAGTCACTAGTATCGTTCTGCCTACACTTGAGTGGGCTGGTAACATAGGTAGGATTACCTACCGTGAAGTCTCTCCCTATACACTAACTTCTTCTCTGTATATCAACTTACTATGATGATGTAGTAGGACTTCTCTCACGGGAAAAGTGAAGTATTTCGATTAATATTTACATCAAGATTGCTTACCTAACTCCACAGACACGGGCACCAATGGATGGTAGGATGATGTTCTCTACAAACGGGTGTTTCCTCCTATTGTCAACACACTTGTAAGGTGCATATTGTGGCAAATCCATCAGTGAACGAGAATACTCTGAGTGTGGGACTGTTGTATCCTCAGACAAGAGGACGAAGTCTGAGGAGCCATGTCGAGTATAAATATTCCAGAATGTCTTCCAGACTTAACTGGAATTGAGGAAAGTCTTCATATTCATAAATCCTAGTATTCACCGATGTTGGAGCCTGAATAAATGTTCCACTAATCTTTTCATATGTTTCATCTCCAGCTTTTCTCCATACTTGTAGCTCAGGATACAGGATGTCATTCCCTCCATAGTCAGCTCCAATGATCCATTTGGTAATGTTCCCATCACATGTGAACCTCGTTTCTGGTGACACCTGCTGACGTTGACTGGTGTACATAATGGGTGAAACAGAGTCCAGGTTTAGGGAAAGTCTCATTCTTTCAACACTCATGAAGCCACGCCCACAACCTGGAGGATCTGATGCAAGCAAGTTTACCCCACTGAGCAAGGAAAATAAAATACTTACCTGTGATTACGTTGACAAACAACTGCAATGTGCTAAACCTACTTCCTAAAGTGATATTCAGCAAACTGGCTGGACCGGTTCTGGAATACAGGTATCCAACTTGATTCTCTCTTCCGTCTCGTACAAACAGAAGACTCAAGTGACTCAGAGAAGGCTGGGGCTGGTAGTATCCTAGAACATCCCCAGCTTGGAAGGCCAGGGGAAGGGAGAGGGGGTACTCATAGAGTGCTGTATTTACTCCTGGTAGTATTGATTGTAGTGTATCCAACTTTAGTGTAGAATCCATTTCCAGTAGGTCTCCATATCTGTAGCTCAGTGAAGAAACTGTGTCCAAACCACCGGGCTCCAAACACCCAGCTCTGAATACTGCCATTGCATGTGAAGCCAACTTCAGGAAATATTACTTGAAAGTTGTCAGCAACTGCTTGGGTCCCAATATTTCCCAGTAATCTATCCATTCTGTCAAGACTCATAAACCCACGAGTGCAACCATCACCTGAGGAAAGATATTCCAATCGAGAGCTGGCTATCCACAGCTAAAAATCGCATACCGTCTCCTTCAGTCATACACTGGCAGAAAAGAGCGAGAGCACACGCACTCAGTAACACACGTGTTAGTAGGTTCTCCATGTTCGTCGCACACACTCTGTCGCAAGCCCAGCACCTCTCACCTATCCGCGAAACTTCGGTAACGCATGCGCGCGCGTACACGCTCGCTTGCACGTATAAAACAAGAGTGGAAAAATCATATAGGGATGGCTTGAAGCACCAAAAAGGAAGAAACAAGGGGTCATTACACAGCAAAGTTGCACAAAGCTACGTGACACCATCCCTATGATAAAACAAAGATAGCTATAGGGATGGTGTCATGTAGCTTTATGCAACTTTGCTGTGTAATGACCCCTTGTTTCTTACTTTTTGGTGCTTCAAGCCATCCCTATATCCCCCTTTCATAAAGCTGCAAAGCTGATGAGTTGCTCTGGTAGCTTAGTTGTTAAGTGGTTGGTATATAAGTATATGTTATTACACCTTTTGGAGTAACCGCAACACCGCGACAAAAGGTGTAATAAAATGTTTATTACCGCTGATTGGTCGTTGCTGGTGAAACCGCCCCGCGAAAATGGCCAAATAAGGCGATGCGCGTGAACCTGCGCATGCATAACGTGCCGTTCTATCGTACGCCGCTCATCCAGGCTATAATTATAGGCAAACACGATCGACGCTGACAGATCGAGGGAGCGATTGAGGGAGCGAATGGAAGAGGCTTTCCGTTTGGAAGTCGAGGGTTGGGATTCTGAACGTCGCTGCAAGACTCCGCGTCCGAGAGTAGCGCTCCTGGGGACGGGCCGTCGCCATCTAAAAGGCGTAGGCTCTCGCTGACAAGGAAGAGGGCACGTGCACTACTTCCGCAGCTACAGAGAGGTTTGATGATGCAAAGAGCGAGGCTCTCAGCAGGAAGTTTGTGCCTACGCCTTTTCGATGCCAACGGCCCGTCCCCAGGAGCGCTACTGTCGGACGCGGAGCTTGCAACGACGTCTCAGAATCCCAACCCTCGACTTCCAAACGGAAAGCCTCTGCCATTCGCTCCCTCAATCCTCCCTCGATCTGTCAGCGTGGACATAAGAACATTGATACCCAACCCTAACCACAGTGGATATTCACACCCTTCCTTAGTTATTTACCCTAACCATGGTGGATATTCTCACCTTCTCACCCTCTTGGGTGGGTAGCTGATTTATTGCAATGACCTAGCAATGGGTAATAAGAGTATATATTATTCTGTGTTGTAGTCAAGAGTATAATTACATAAGCTCTCTTTTCCTTGGAAAAGGTTTTGTCCCAGGGGTCTTCCATATTGCCTAATGCCTTGCTTTCATACCCCACTTAATTAATTAATAACCCTTTGGGCGCCATTTACATATTATAATTATTATATATAATATGCACAGAGCCTCCATAAGTGCATAAGAATTTTTATATGGCTATAATACTAGGCGCTAATATGTTATACATCAATTTCTGCTTATTTAAGGAGACACCTATGGCGCCCAAAGGGTTAAGATTCATAACCCTACGTTTGTACCATGAGCAGCATATGCACATGATAATTATTCTATCATCTTATAGAGTGTAGATGTCTCAAGGAATCAAAAACAATCATGGCACCTCATAGGAGCCGGCATAAAAATCCAAAACACACTGGCTATGTATCATGATCCACACACACACACACACACACAACACGGAAGTCAGGGAGTGATTATTAGAGAGGAGTCAATAGCTACTAGCTGTGGAGGAGACTCTGGAAGAGAGTGGTAGTCCTGGACCTGGGTCTACTGCCAGTGGGAGGAGCTACTGCTGCCAGTCTGCCGGTTATCACAGCCTTTGATGGTCTCTGGGGCTTCACTGGAACATCTGTGGGGAACAGTCAATAATTGGTCTATCATCAGATTCGGGTTTATACTTTTACCTTCAGGGTGGCCATTAGTCAAAGGACTAGGCACTGCTGGAGCTAAATGGAAAAGATAAAACAGAGCACAGTGGAACCTTAATTCAAACACGAGCCCAGGCATCAACACAACATCAGATGTGGTTCCCTGGATTTCACACGACCAGAGCCCACCCCCACTGTAGCTCTAGTAGATGAAGGTTACCTGCAAAAGAGTGTCTGCTGGCAGCAACAGTAGCTCTGCTCTTTCTCATCAGGAAAGGAGACACCTTCGCCGTATCATCACCTGTAAACACACACAGGCATACACGTCATAATAAAATTGCTACATAACATAATTATGGCCTTGAGAAAAATGAAAGAGAACACCACTGCTGTGTTTGGTAGTCTGACCTCCTGAAAGAGCTAGTCCATTGGTTATGGAAGCCCTCAACTCCTCCAGTTCAGCTTTCAGCTTGTCCCTACAGAGTAGTACAGACAAAACTTTACCTTGGTTACCTGTATGACGTACGTACATAATGGATGTGCTGACTCACCTCTCCTGCGTGACCAGGTCGAGTTGTTTGGATATCTCCTCCAACCTCTCATCAGGGACTGGGGGAGACTGGGGCTGGAGAGAAAGACATGCAGGAAGACTAATCTGCAAGAACAAAAGCACAATCACCCCCACCTCAGAGTCCTGTTTGCCACTTTCACTCAATTTCCTGTGGATGGTCATTGCAGTGCACTGTATAGATTACATACCTCACGAAAGTATTATACTTTACATGTTTTCCATTACTCAGTTAATTGTCTATATACCCCTATAGCCTTATCCCTGCCCCTTGTCGTATCAATTGTAAATGCAACCTGTCACTGACTTTTCCATGGTCCTGTTGATCTTGCGAATGTTCTTGAGGTCAGCCAAAGCTTTCTCCTTCTCCACCTGGAGCTGGGCTGCCCTCTCTCTAGCTCCACCCACCTCTCCCTCCAGCTCTACCAGTCTATATAATGACACACACACACACACACACACACCAACAGTTTGAATGCACAGCATCTTCTTTTGTTTAGGGCTATTGTTCTCAACAGCCTCTTCAATTTGCACCCAAGTTTCCCATGTCCCTCACCCATTTCAATAATTATGTAGGTGTATATGAAGTGCATAACATAACATTTTAGAGTTAGCTGACCTTTCTTTGGTCTTTTCCAGCTCTTTGCTCTTTTCCCTCTCCACCTCCCCCATCATCTCCCTGCACCTCTCCTCCAGCTCTCCCACCTTCTCCCTCCACCTCCCCACCTCCTCCTCACACCTCGCCCTCTCCCCTGTCTCCCTCGCCTCACACTCCCTCCTCAGGTTCTCCATCTCCATCTGCCACTTGAGTCTCTCCTCGGGCAGTGTGGCCCCTCCCCCCTTCCCTTCCTCCCTCTCTCCTCCAGGAGGGGTGTTTGCCACGGGGCTCTCTACTTGTCCTCTCATCTCTCCCACAAATCCTGCAACTGTGGCTGGCCTCTCTTCACACTCCTATACATCACACGTACAACACAGTAACACAATATACAAGATACGTATGTACATGGGGCACAATAGTTACATCAAACAATATTAACACTTTACCAGCCAAGGACACATTTAATGTGTCCATTGTCTCCATAAGCAGCAGGATTTTATATGGAGGTTTTAATACTAGGCGTTAATAATTTGTACATGGTTTCTGCCTGTATATTAGTGGCGTGGAAAGGGTTTTAATCCTGGTTAAACTTTTAAAGTAAAAATCTGGAGTATAAGCTGCGTCCAGGAGTGTGTGCTTTTAGCTGCAATATTCCGCAGACAGAAGGATTAATGGGCTTTGGGAAAGGGATTATCTTAGTTCTTTTGTCCCACTTTTATACTGCTGTACGTACCACAGAGTTATAGAAACAGACACAGTATACAGAGCCCACCAGATGAGTGGAGAGGGGAAGAGAGAGGGAGGAGATGTCAAGAGGTGAGAGGAGCTCGCTGGCTGTAGAGGACAGACTCCTGTTCTTGATGAAGTGGCGAGGGACAAAGTCTCCTCTCCGGATGAGCTCTGCCTGGAGGTCCAGGGCCACACTCTGAATCTCCTGCAGCAGTTGCTGGGGAAACACCACGTGTCAAACAATCAAGTGGGAAGTTGGTAAGTACATACAGGATTGTACGTTACACTGTACAGGATATTTTGAACAAGGTAGACGATAACGATTGACTACTAAGTACATACAGAATGGGATGCAGTGTAAAAGAAATCATCAAACCAGAGCAGCGTGAACGACATTTGTAAAACATTGTTTAAACTCTGTGTGCATCTGTAAACGATACTGACACAACCATGTCAGTCAGATACTGTTCAGTGGTTGTGTGCATTGTAATCACATTGACCTCCACTGGAGGTGGCTATAAATCCTTGCATTGGATTTCTACAATAGCAACGACACCGGAGACACAGACAGCCACACTTACAGTGAGTGGAACCTCGTTCTGTTACCTGCCTTACTTATGATGCGTGTTGAAATCTCTGGATATCAAACAACTATAATTATAGCTAAATCCAAATTTTGTCCCCTTGAGTCCATATCAATGAGGTGTATATACAATGTATGTATATGACGTATGTATGTACTATAATACCTGAGTGTCAGAGAGCTCCTGCTGGTAGGTCTTGATGTCGTCCTCGGCGGTGGCGAGGGCAGCCTGAGTCTCCTCCAGCTCTCCTCGTACCCTCAGTTCCTCCGCCTCCAGCCCCGCCCCCCTCACCTCGTCCAGCTGGAGCCGCAGGGAGTCGTTGACACTCTCCAGACTCTGTTTGGCCGCCTCCAGGTCCAACAACTGAACACATATATACACCCAGGAATACTCACATCATTCTATCTGGTCACATTGTCGTTTTTACTACTATTGACATACACATCTCACAGTACATAGCACCTACGTATGTACATATTAGTAACAAATTGCTCAGGAAAAAAGGGTAGGCCGAAGCAATCAAAGGATATTAGTAACTTGGTTGGCATTTGAGTTAGAATTGAAGCAGCATGATCAGCAATTCAATGCTAACAACAGTATCTTTCCATGAGAGCTTATGCACACATAGCACAACAACCAAAGGGAGCAGGGAGAGTGAGACCTTGGTGTGAATGTTGTCTCTGTCGACGGTGATGCTGTGGACCTCTCTCTCCCTCTGCCTGGCCGACTCCTCCAGCTGAGCATGGAGCTGGGCCGTCACCGCCCCCCTGGACACCAGCTCCTCCCTCAGACCACTCACCTGGCCTCGCAGGGCATCCACCTGCATCGACACACATACAGTAGGAAAGAGACTGGGTAATACAGCTTTTCTGTCTCCAATATAGAGAAAGAAATGGAAGGAAACGAGGGAAATATTATTTTACTGCATGATGGCAATGCTATATTATGGACAGACACCAGAGACACTAACGACAACCTCATTCATGCATTATTCGTGATATGTGCCAATACATAGATCTATCCTATCTGTCCGTGAACAGAGGTATGGTAATGTTCAAACCTCGGCCTCCAGGAGCTGGACAACACTGTCTTTCTCCTGCTTCTTGTCCTGTCCACCTCCTCCAACAGTGTCTTCTTCCACACTCAACAAAAACTCCCTGGGGTATATACACACACGCAGGTACATAACACGCCCTCGCAGAGCTACAGAATGTACTGCTACAACTTTGAGTATATTGTAGGTGGTGCCTATGACATTGCTACGTAGGTATGCAGAAATTTGAATAGTCTCAATTGACTTGCTGTCAAACTGACAATCTACAAGAGTATCAGGTCGTACTCTGCAGTGGGTCATCACGGTCACAACACTACAGTCCGTGCTACTCTACAAAACCTCGACTGCACGGAGCGCAGCCAGTTTCATAGTCCTATATAGGAACATGAGAGTTCAGTGACACAAGCACATTTTACTGTACACGTGTTTTTTTTTACTTGCACTGTTACTTGTAAATTTTTTATGCCTAAAGAACTTACGTAGAACATATTATAAGATGCTGTGTATGTGTATAGAGTCAGTCGGATGGTATTTTGAGTCTCCACACACTGATGCAGCTTATACGGTAGCTTGGAAGCAAACAACACATGTCTAGATATACAATACAGACGATTCCCAAGGAGCTTATGTACATGTGAAAACTACGAGGCGGAAAGGCAAAGGCAAGTCAACTATACCCATGGTATTGTATATACTATACAGTACACTAGTGCTAATGTTAGCAAGTAGAGAGGGGACTGACCCGGCAGTGTTGAGGGTGGTGGGTGTGGTCTGGGGGTCAGAGGTTGGGAGGGAGAGGAGATCTCTGCTGGTGACAGAGGACCCAGAGCTGCCACTCCCACTACGAACCAGAGCTTCAGCTGGGGCCACTGACAACTGCTGGGACACCCACACACAATACACAGTTTTACATACATACACATGCTGAGTGAGAGTATAATACTGTGCCATAGTACAGTGGTTTGAGGTTTGCCTTGTCTTGTGTTATGTTGTAGATTTGAACCCCTACCAGCTGAGTTGCCCTGGTAACTCAGTTGGTAGAGCACTCGCTTAGACTGCAGAGTGTCGTGGGTTCCAATCCCACCCTGACCCAGGGCAGCTCTTATTTTTGCAGAGCTGTCCTGGGCGTAATGGATTTGTTTGCCTTTGCCTTGTCTACCTAAACTTAGTTTGTTGACATATACATGTAAAAACTCACACTGTACACTACAGGACAAACCGTACTGAAAATACTCAGCTATTTTGGGTGGTTTTTCAACAGTTACACTCGCTCTGTGGGTGCACACAAGACAGTGCTCTACTAGTAACACATCGTACAGTGTAGGGAGAGTGTGCATCACATGGTATGATTTTCTTCATGTCATGTATTAGAGAAACCCAGACAGTAACAACAAAGTAAGCTAGTCAGCCAGAAGTTTGCTGAGGCCATTGCTTTGCTCTAGCCTAAACATTGTATATAGCTCCACGCATCCTCACCACCTCCCTAATTAATGCCTCCCACAGGTGTCCTCAGTACCCGCTGAAGAAAGTAACACTTAATTACAGCTTACATTATCAGAGCATATATACCACAACTTCTCTCTCTGGCACCACGAGTTTATAAAGGCTAAGTTGAGCGCAGCACTTGTGGTTTTGAACTAATGAGATTCATCCCCACAACCAAAACCCGAACTCAAATTGCTGACAAGTGTACTGATTACTGTACCTTGGAATCATCCAGTAGAGAAAGAGCAGTGGTGATGGCAAGTACCCAATCCTGCTGCTCTGACTCTGTCTCAGCTGATATGTAGTAGGTTCGGTTGGGGACCTGACAACATAGACCAGCTATGAGTCACCTTTTTCAGTAACACACAGAGATGATGTAACCTGAATAATGAGTCCATAGCCCCTCTTGAGATTAGCCTGGCTAACACCACTGCACTCCCTCAGGTCAATGGTCCCTTGACTCTTCTCAGCCTACAGACACATACCAAATGCATGTGGCACATCTTTATATTCATCGTTGGAATTTTTTGAGCAAATGGCAGTTTTTGAGAAATATACGGTGTACAAGGTGGTAAACCATACGGCACTGATCTCACTTAAATATTGATCCGACTTTTATGATTCTAATACGTACCTTTTCTGTCTTGAAGTAGGTCAGTTTTCCGTTGGACAGGACAAAGAATCGGTGATTCCAGCCCTGGACACACAACACAATGTAATCTATGTGTACCACTACACCTGCGTACATACATACTCCACAGCACATCTATATACGTACGTACCCCCTTATTGTTTGGTCCTGTTTTATAGAGCCATCCACTCTTATCAGCAGACCTCGACTGCACCTGCATACATACATACACATGGCAATAGCCCTCATTAGTATACATGATGTACATACATTATTGCTAGAATAATAGTGTGGATTTGTTCTAGTAGTGCATATGGAGCAGGGAGAGACTGGAAATGACACTACATGTATGACTATATGTACTACAGATTGAGCATTATTGGCAAGCACACTTGAGTTAGTTTTACTCATATTGGTAATTACCACAGTACCGTGTAGAGGTGTACATTAGTTACACAGAAAAATCATGCAATTTAGACACATAATATGGTAAACACAGTGAAGATAAAATAGGAATTCACGAGAACGCTACTGCACCTTGGCAGACATTGAGAAAGTTCTAGAAGTTGTTGTATCACTGGCGTCTCCCCGATGACCTTTGACCTCCGGGAACCCAGAGTACCTGCGCTGGCCGGAAGGGGAGGGGTGTGAGGAGGCGGGGCTGGCATCGTTCCTCACTGCAAAGCCAGCCATCATCTGACGAACAAGAACAAGATATATACATTATTATCACATGTCGTCAGTGGCACAGATAGAGCAACACAATAACGTGAATGATTACATATTTCTTGGATTCAAGTTTCAGCAAAAGATGAGTTTCTATAATTATGCACACAAACATGCATACACAAACACACACACATACACACCAGCTCAACTTCACTCAGCAATGCATGCTGGCAATTAGCACTCTTAACAAACTTTATGACTATGTATATACTCCATGTTAGATCGTGTGTTTACAGTACCTCTAGCCAGGCATTGTAGGTGGGAGCAGTGTCGGCCTTGATGTAGTGCAGGGAGTCAGAGAGGTCTAGGCCCAGAGTGTAGGGGAACTGGAGACCTTTGGACCTGGGGTCAAACAGTCGTCTGCAGTTCCGGATGTGGAGTGTCCCCACCGGCCGGCCAGACTGTGTGAGGACGCACACATGCCGTATATACATACATAGGTACAGGTAGTAGTAGTAGTTAGAGATTCAGAGACCTATACACAGTGCATACTGTGCATCTATAACATGCTATGGTGAAAGTATACACACATTTTTCTATGTATAATAATGTGTATGCATACTGCATTCCTGCTAATAAATGGGCATCCATGATTATGATTAAGTATTAAGTGAAAGAGATATTTATACAAAAGTGAGGATGCCATAAGTTTGTTTGGTTTTGTTGGCATTAGCATGCTAAAGAGAGTAACTTGGCTACGGAATGTCAGGATTGAGCAGTATCTCAGGTGGAGGTATATACTCCCTTCCTCGTGCACAGTGAAGGGATGGATACAGTAGCCGACCTTGTCTGGTGAGTCATAGTAATGGAGGTCTCCATTGTCCATCAGCCGGAACCACTTTTTCTGCCACCTCTGGAATGGCAAATGCATGGTCCTAATTATGCAAATCACAATAGAATGTCGAATGTGCTACAATGTATATAACTATACCAACAGACTACGGTATTGCATGCGGAGTTTATACTATGACAAACGTTTGTGCACGTGTTTAGAAACTGTGGGAGAATTTGTACGAATGTAGTGTATAGATCCGTTATCCATATGCACCTGAGAAAACAACCAGCCTACATAATTAATGCCCTGCGTGTAGCTTGATCATTTACAACGTGGATAACTTACCTTCAAGACAGGGAGGTGTCTGGAGGACTCTGGTGACTTCAAGAGGTAGCCTTCTCTCAGCAGCCGTTCCTCCTACCAGGAGGAACAACCCCTGGGCATCACCTCTATTCCACTAGAGTAGCCCTACTTTGTGCGTGAACCACATAGCAATGTAAGCATGCTTGGCAGTCTCTCTACAGCCAATATAGCTAGCTAGCTAGTTAGGTTGTGTAGAGCTAGAGGGTCCCGGCCAGGTAGAGGGTCCCGCCAGCTAGAGACAAACGACTTACCCCACTGTCGTGATATGCCATGGTTTCGGATGGTAATCCTCGCCCCCACTGCCGAGGTCGAGTTTTTTCTGCTGAGCTCATAACGGGAAAGTCCCTATAAGCCACACCCCACCGCCGCTAGTGAAACAACCACGTGTACTTGGGGCCGGCGGTCTCCGTTTTAGGGGTCTTCTCTTCTGTAAAGTTTTTGCAGTGCTTGCGTGTGTTCCTGTGGCTGCTGCAGCGAGTGAGTATTACCGGCTGGAGGGGCTACAATGGCGGATTCGGGGCGACTAGTGAAGATGGAGGTGGACTTCAGCGAGGCTGTAGAGAAGAAGCTGCCTGAAGTGCAAGAGATGGCGAAAGTAAGTGTCTGTACATACCTAGCTTATAGTTTATATGTGGACGTGGGCTTTGAGCTTCCTGTAAAAGTCAAAAATGTTAATGTGCTCTAATTAGAGAAATTGTAGTTATGCTCCTGTTTAGCAAAAAAATTTCTAGCATTATTCTAGCGCACAGCTGAATCTAACATCATACCAGCTGCAAATAGCTTTAAGTAGTAGTTCACTAGTTCCATTTGGGCCTTGTGACATACCTCCCTGTAGAATGGACAGGTACAGGAGGCACTGGAGAGCCTGCTGTCTCTGGAGAAACAAACCAGACTGGTCAGTATGTATACACAATCAACCCTCTATGTACATTCTAGTCTATATGTACCACCGCCATGACGGAATGAGTGTTGTTTCTTTCTGGTGACAGGGATCAGACTCCCAGAGTACTGCCAAGGTCCTCAAGGCCATAGTTCAGATGTGCTTCGACCTCCAGGAGTGGGAGCTACTGAATGAGCACATTCTGCTGCTCACCAAGAAGAGAGGACAGTTCAAGACTGTGAGCTCCACCACATCCACGATTATCACTTGTTACCTGTTGCTTCCTCGTGGCTCAGGCTGTGGCCTCGATGGTGGAACAGTGCTGCCGGTTTGTAGAGCAGACTCCAGACCTACCCATCAAGCTCAAGTTGATTGACACTCTCCGGACTGTCACTGAAGGGAAAGTGAGCTATAGATGGATGTTTCACTATATATACCTATTGCCTTCTAACTGGAGTCAATTGTTTTTGCTTTACTTGCTGTTTTATCTTCTTACCGCACCTTCAATCCTCTTGTTTTTCTTCCATGTTCTCTCCTCTCCCGTGACGCTTCTTCTGTCCCTTTCTGTGTCCCCCTCTCCCCTCCCCTTCCATCTTCCCCTGTTATTCGTTCTTTGCCCCCCTTCCCTCTTCGTGTTTTCTTTTCCTCCCTCTCCTCTCTCACTGTCTCCAGATATATGTCGAGGTCCCCAGGGCACGACTTACTATGGAGCTGTCCAAGATCAGGGAGGCGGAGGGAGATATTGCTTCTGCTGCCTCCATACTACAGGAACTGCAGGTGTTTATCAAATAAGCCAGGGTTTAGTTCTCGTACCAATGTGCAATTGTGATGTGGTGGGAACAGATCAACCTGGTATATTAGCACTACTATCTGGCCAGCACGTAGGTGACTGCAGGTGACTGAATTAATTGGCAAGCAAAGCGAACCTACCTGTAGTCGTTTCAATGCGGGAATGTTTCTATATGTACTGCACTGCACTTTTATACGTGATTATTAATACACGCAAAACACGTGCGAAATATTCAACTGCTCGCACAGTCGTAATTATTCCTACGTTACACATACACGCAAAGCATGCTCGCACTAGCTTGCAAACAATGCCTTGCATTCCTCTAGTGTACTAAGGTGGTAACCCAGTACGTGCATGTTTTCTTAACACTCTGCGTGCACGCTAACATCTTGGTCAGTGGGCAGGAAGACTAATGGAATAGCAGAGTAACAAGCAGCTCTACAATAAGCTCCATCTCAACTATGTGTCTGGCTGCATGACATTGGATCGGCCCTGCTGAGCAAAAACGCACTACATTTTCCTAGTTTTGACAAGTGATAGTGCAACATTGTCAGCATTGTCTGTGGTGATGGACCGCAGGTGGAGACGTTTGGCTCCATGGAGAAGGATGAGAAGGTCCAGTTTATCCTGGAGCAGATGAGACTGGGGCTGGCACGGAAGGACTACATCCGGACACAGATCATCAGCAAGAAGATCAGCGTCAAGTTCTTTGCCTCTACAACCGACTCTGAAGCTGTTCAGGTGAGATACACACCAATAAGATATCGTAGTGATCCCAGGGTTCCCTATTCTTATGCGGTATCCATAGATAATAAAATTTAGGTGTATATATGTGCAGTAAAAGAGTAAATTCTCTGCTTTCTATAGCTCTCTCCGTGTTAGAGATCCGTGCTGTATTTACACCATTCTGCGTGCTAGAGTACACATGTAATTGTGCTGTGCCCATGCTAGGAGCTGAAGTTGAAGTACTACCGACTGATGATAGAGTTGTGTCAGCACGACCACGACTACCTGGCCATCTGCAGACACTACCAGGCCATCTTCACCACACCCTCGGTTCAGGAGACGAGCTCCAGTGGCAAGATGTGAGACTCTCTCTCCCTACAATGGTGTAGCATAGGTAGTAGCTGCACCAAGCATTGCTTTACATGTTGATAGCACATCCCTTTTATTGCATGTGCATAGATAATGGTTAGTATTAGAAAAATGTGGATTAAAGTGGATGTTATGTGGCGGTACAATAAGGGCTAAATTTAAAAATGTTACTAACCAATAGGGCTCAGTGCAATTAAGATTCACTTTTTAGTAACAGTTTCTAAATTTAGCTCATATACATAATGCTGTACAATGCTGGTGTGATGCCAATGTGCAGGCACTGAAGAACATGGTACTGTATGTGTTGCTGGCACCGTATGACCACGAGCAGTCGGACCTCCTCCACAGAGTCCACCAGGAGAAGAAACTGGAGAAACAGCACATCTACATGTGAGCCACGCCGTTTTGTATCTACAGTCAGCCACGAATACCGTTCACTGCAAGATCAGTGTGTATTGTGGCTATGTATGTACAATACTGTAGTCCACTGACTGCTGTGCAAAGGCGTACTTCGATATTCACATGCCAGATGAAAACTACTGACTGCAGTGAAAATGTCTATGTCCTTGCCGTTTTATGGTTCTACAGTTTTCAGAATCTTTGTTGATGCCTTTGATTTTGCATATTGCTACATTTCCCCTCTACTCAATCACACTGGGTATTGTGTAGGGAGGTGTTGGAGTGTTTCAAGAGACGAGAGCTGCTCCAGTGGACGGAGTTCTTGGTCAAGTATGAGGAGGTGCTGAGGGAGGGCATGCCCGACTGCTCCGCCACTGAAGTGTTTGTGAGTGACACCGAGCTGGGGAAACACCAGTGGGAGGACCTCAGGAAGAGGGTCATCGAACATGTGAGCTCAATATTGTACTGTGTGTCGACTTATAATGAAGACACCGTGTCGTACAGGCTCATTTCTGCTTTTGTCTCTATGAAATGAAATTGATTAGCTTTTCATAGCAGGGAAACAACAAGAGCAGATACTGTGTGTATAATGTACCTCCTGATTTCTTAACATTTCCCAAGTTATATTATTGTACACCTGTTATTTTGTGAACATTTGACAATTATTGTCCCATTCCTGTGGCCAGAGTAATTATGCTAAAGTCGTCCTCACACTCTCAAAATTACATCCAAACACAGAAACAAACACCAATTAGGGTGGTGGCTCAGTACTACACACGCAGGATTACCATGCAGAGACTGATCAGAGCTAATCTCACTCTCCATGCGCAGGTGAGTACAGTGATTATCACTCACCCAACCCCCTCTCGCCCGCCTATCTACGCTCTACACTCTCGGCTGAAACTGAGAGAGAAAAAGTTGCACGTGATTTGGGCCAAAGTTCGAAAAAAGATAATGTTTATCTTTGTTTTCTTTCCGCCCATTTATCCATTATCATAATCACAGTTAGGATCCCAAGACATCATTCTCCTACTACAGCATGGATCACCTAGTGTGATCTGGGTGGAGGTCCAGTATTATAGTGTGTGCCTTTGCTCCAGGAATCAGAAGAGTTCTTGACTCAATTGGTCATCAAGAAGACAATCTACGCCCGCATCGACAGGCCAGCTGGGGTCGTGAACTTTCGAGAGGTCAAGGACCCTAACGAGGTCCTGAATGAGTGGTCCCGCAATCTCAGCAATCTCTAATGGCATCACGCTAGGTCAGCCACGACCCACATCACCAATCGTCACCAGAAGGAGATGAGCACTCCATCCAAGTTGTAGAAGCTCCATGCCGTAGACTTTGTGTGTAATGTATACCACATACCGTACTGTGTAGTTTGGCATTCTTATTATGTTTTACTGTGTTGAGTTGCGGTCAGTTCGTGGGACTAGATGAAAGCTACTTCAACGTGCTGGTGGAGTTCACTCCGCTACGTCAATTTAACGCTTTGGGTGCCATAGGTGTCTCCTTAAATAGCATAAATTGATGTATAACATATTAGCGCCTAGTATTATAGCCAAATATGGGAGAAATGAAAGTGCAAACCCTCGGTGCATTGTGACGCGCACGCGTAAGTAAATGCATGCCGCGGTACCACTAATTATGGGCTGGTTTAGTTTTAGCTGCTACTTCTCTTGCAGGGTAGGTTTCTTCGTCTTCCGAGGTACGCAGAGCAACGGGTCCGTTTGCGTATTAGCATATTGGGTTTTTTCGCGCTCTAGCTTTGAACGGAGCAGTTTCACTAGAGAAAACCGTTCGAAGCTTCTGACCTTCATTGCCCGTTAAGGTAGGTCGTAGAGAGTAAACAGACACAGAGACAGACAGACCCTACACACACACCAACTACCGTACCCTTCGCTACGCTGCGCGCCGAGGTTAAAACAAAGCTTAGGCCTGTGTACTGTTGAGAGTGGACGTTCTTGGTGCAGTTGTCAGAGATGGGAAACTAATCGAATCTCTGAAGTGGCTGTGGGATGCCACATCGGACAGGAGATCATCAGCTGTATATACCATGCTTACACACTAGTAGTGTCCACAAAGTTGTGTACTGTGGTGGCATACAAGCTATAATAGTACCTCGTATATTCACCAATGCATTTTCATTCTTCAAGATACAAATTCTAGGGACAGGGTTATGAATGACAGAGCTAACAAGTATCAAGTTAGATAGGTGTACTGGTGATTTTTACATGTCCCAGAGTGGCGAGTGTGTGCCAGACTTCATCGTCTGCAGCCTTAGCCTCAGCAGTTCCCTGTGTCCTGGTGACAGGAAGAGCAGCAGCAAAGTGGAGAAGAGGGTGGGGATGTGAGAGACAGTCTCCTTCCAGCAGAGAGACTGAGCCAAACTCCAGGTAGTCTGACTCCCTCTCCAGAAGACCCTGAACTGCCCACCAAATCCTTGAAGTGTGGACAGCATGGGTCCAGTGACCAGCAGCTCATCATGATCTCATATCTGTTGAGAGATAAAGAGAGAGACTAAGCACTGGTCCAAACGTGAGGCTCCTTACACTTCATCCAGACAGGCCTCATTGTCAGGGTCTCTCTCCAGTCTCTGTCCTCTCTGCAGTTCCTTCAGGAGACCCATGCTGGATCCCAGTGTATGGGATCCTCCCCAAGTAAAGATCTCCCACACTGTCACTCCAATGACCACTGGAGACAAGTCCACGATATACTAGTACGCAGTATAAAAGTATCAATAAAGGACCATCCGAATAATGGAAAATAAATAGCACTAAAGTGCAAAACCATCGGCGACTTGCGCATGCGCGATTACCGCTAATTGTTGGGCTGGCGCTATTAGTATGTGGTTACTCGCGGTTGCCGCTGTAGCTCGTGAGTGTCTGGCTACAGTAGTAGATGGCATGAGAAAGTCGATACATGCCCTCCATTGTGACTTCTTGTGCCTCCAAGGTACACAGGCAAGTGGACCTGTCGAGTAGCTGAGCCTGACAAATTTGCATTCACCGGCATAACTTTTGAAAGCAGAACTTATCAAAATCACCTTTTTAAATGAGGCCAGTCAGTGTAGCAATGAACCTGTTGGTGTCGCTATTTCGTTGTCTCGTTGCGCGTAGTCGCAGACACGTGGAACAGACAACGGACAAACACACTCAGGAACCAAGTGCCGTAATCCTCGCTGTGCAAGCGCGCCGAGGGTTAACTTTCACACGATTCTAGTACATTTTAACCTCCAAGGAGGATGACCTCCCTATAAAGGACAAAACTCCTGGTCCCCCAGTGTCCATTAATGTCAAGTTCCACTGTAATAGTAACTTACCACATCAGTGGCCTCAGTGTAGATGTCTTTCTCGATGCTCTCAGCAGCCATCCACCTCAAGGGCACCTTCTCCTCACTCCCTGTCACACTCTTTCTTCGACGGAAGTAGTTGGTGCCATACATGTCCTCAGTTAGTCCAAAATCTGCAACTTTTATCTCTCCATTACGGTCAATCCTACACGAAAATAAGCAACATAATAGCGCCAACAAGGACTGGGTTTCTGTCTGAGTCTTACATGCAGTTTCTTGCTGCCAAATCGCGATGAACAAACTTCTGCATTGCGAGATACTCCATACCCTTTGAAATTTGGTGACATATGTTCAAAAGAGTCTTTTTGGCTGATATAACCTGCTGAGAGTTTTTGTAGGTATTAGCATCAACATGAAACCTGAGACTCAACCTGTGGTGCTGTTGCATTAATACAGAGCAATTCGTCTTTGTGGTGTTTAACAAACTCCAAAACACATCCATTCGACATAAACGGCATAATTAGTAGGGGTATTTCCTCGTCAATGCACACTCCCACCAGAGACATGACATTAGTGTGTTTAAATGATAACATGGTGGACACTTCTTTAGCAAGTCTCTCCATATCACTACTGGAGAATAGTGCTGCAAATACACACAGACATACATTTCAGTATAAATAATATTATATAGCATGCAGCTAATAATACCTTTTCCAGTTTTAACAGCAACCAGCTCCTTCCCTATTGCAGTGCTCAGATACCCCTTATACACCATTCCCGACTCCCCTGAAATAGTAATTTCGGTGATAGCGCAATGCCAGAAAGTTGGTCAAAGACGTCACCTTGACCCACTATACTGGTAAGCTGAAGTTCACTCTTGGAAAATATCATTCTCTGGTCTTTCAACTGCTGCTTCAGCTGCTCAGACAGATAAGACCTCTTTCTCACGTCTGTAAGAAGCAAATGCAGCAGAAGTACCATAATAGCTAACACTTCTGAGATCGTTTCATTAACACATCCATGGTAGTGCACTATTCACAAAATTTGTAAAACGAATCTTACCAAGAGAGACATAGCTGTGATCAGAAACTGAGAGACCGCCGCCGTAACTATGACTGTGGAAAAACAATAGTTATTACATTAAGAGCAGAACTAAGTTGAAACCTCACTCTTCGAGATCAGGGCTCTTGTTGTTTCTGTTTCTCCTGCAATAAAGCAGACTGACCACTACAATGGCTGCTATAGTTATAAGCAACACTATTGAGAAGACTACTGCTGCAATAATAGTCCCCGCATTGTCATTGGTTTGTGGAGCAGTTGACGTAGCAGTTGACGTAGCAGTTGACGTAGCGTCGGATAACAAACACAACATTTCACACCGGCTTGGTAGGTTAATAGTGACAGTAGGACTTGGTCTGTTGACATGTACACGTGCCATCTGTTCCAATACTACAAAGTTTAACTCGACTCGTATTTCACTACAGTTGAAATATTCGCAGATATCATCCACACCAAAGTCAACTGAAATATTGAAGCACTCTGTCTGAGTCGGATTTGTGGAGTTTACGGAGAAATCCAGGCTATCAGCACTCAGCTTGACTAGCTGTGTTAGGTCTGAAGATGCACAACGTAATGGAATCACTATTATTACTAAGACAGTGGGATTGTCTTACTTGCTATTTTGTCCACTGTCACATTTGTAGTGAACGTTTCACCAATTCCTTTAGATGTACTAGTAGCACATACTTCAGTGTATCCATCCATTTCCATTACAGTATTGCTGTTGGACTTATACCCAACCGTTACATCTGTGAAACATAGTGATCTTTATAATTAACAAAGTGAGCTTAATTTAGTCATCTCAAAGTCTTAACTTAGTTTTCTGAACTGAGGGCACATATGAAGCATTTGGGTGTACATGAAACTAAATATGAGCCAGTGGGCTATTACTAGTGTGTTTCAAAGGCTTGGTACTGTATGCAGATCACAATAGGACCTGTACTATATCCCTACATAGAGCGTCTACAGGCACTCTGGTACAAAAAACGCATGCAACAGAACTTACAACACTCTAGTTCTCTGCTATCATCAATTAAAACTCTAGCTCTAGACTGTGATGAGTTGATCCTTAGTCGATCTGTAGACGTGACACTAAGACGAACTTCAAACTCTGTTGTATTCTCCATCAGTTCACAGACTTCATCTGGTCTTATTTGGTAATCATGACACGCTACAGGTACACCCTTCTCAAACTGCAATTTTTGATTGCACTGCAATGTATACTGATCAGAAACTTCATTTCCTGAAAGAAAGTACATCAAAGATGATAGTATATTGAAGCACGTATAGTGTGAATACCCCGTTCAACACTCCCCCATTGAAAGAGTTACCTTCTTCTGGAAACATGGTGATGCTGAATGGTCTGACAGCTCCACCAGAAGAAGGGTTTGAGACTTCAACACACACTCTAGCATGTCCGGCTGTCTCAGTCCCAGTGTATGTGGTGGAGTTAAACCCAACAACCATAGCTGCAAAAAGTGTTCACCAGTATAAGTTACAAGACCCAGGTTCCTCATACCACTTACCATCATCGTCCCCTTCAATAGTTAGATTTGCAATAGAAGCTGACAGCTCAATCCTGCTGTCTAGGCTATCAGATCTCTCCAGCATGACAGAGAATGATTCATCTGTCTCAGCAATACTATCATCCTCAACTTCTACTTCGGCACAGGCTATTGCTTCACAAGCAGCAAACACCAGAGGAAGTTGAGTTTCAGAAAAATCTGATGAATAAAGAAGAGGGATTAACTAATGTACTGAGAAAGAACCAGGAGTAAAGTTTGCTGCACTTATAACACTGTATTGTACTACCGCTGCATAATGCTAAACAGGCAACTTCCTAACAATAGCTATAGACACACAATAACAAAAGAAAAAAAACGAATCTGGTATATAGCTAACAAGGTTTTCTCACCTTCAGTGGTAGCATTAACTGTAAGCATCACTTCAAACTGAAATTCCACTGCACAATCTGAGCTATTGTCGGTGATGACTGCACAGATGATAATCAAGGGGTGACTCTCTGATGCAGTGTATCCTGTCTTTTCCAGTTCTACTATCACAGGAGCTGTTATGGGAAAAGGTTAATGTATCTGTCAGTATAATCTCCGGAGAAATGCATAGTGGGAGGCACTTATGTTTTTGCTAACAGTGAATAATTGGGGAGGTACATACCTACGTAAGTGGATTTGCAAGTAAGCTTGGTGTAATCATCTTTCAGTGTTACATTATATAGAACGCATACACAAAACCAACTATTATGTCAACCAAATTTCTTTAAATTTACCATGCTGACATATTGATTGGTTTCCACATACGCGGCCACAAATGACAAGACAGAATTTGTTATTCTGTTCTGCCATGTCAGACAATTATCTTGCTTCACCTGTTTCGTTGTCCACGATAGCAATCTGAAGGTTTGTCCTACTCAGAGATATATTAGTCCTGGCAGCAGTGGTACCCAATTCCACGGACACTTCAAACGTCTCCTCGAGTTCCAGAACTGTGTCATCTCTGATTGGTATACTCACACAAAGAGATTTCGAACAGTTCCAGAAGAGTTGCATTGCTGTCTGACGGCACTAAAATCTCCTGGAGAATCTGGTAGGTGGTAAACAGCTTTAGTTATCATGATATTGATTTCATATAGGCCAGTGGTTGCATGCACTGAGCTATTATTACAAAATATACTGTCTAACAAAAAATATATTTACCTGCAGTGCCAGTAATAGTAGAGAGATAGATTTGAAATGGGAAAGGAACAGGGCACCCATCCATGCGGTCTTCAATGAGAAAACAGAAGTGAGCTTCTTCTGGCATCTTCATTGACCTTTACAAGTGCAGGTTCCAGCACCAGAACTGCAGCTAGTATAGTATGAGAAGAGAGTTGTGTCATCGACCATAACAGCTCTCTTTCAAACTTACAGCCTTCACATGCATCGCCCAGTCCATTGTCATCTGTATCTGCTTGATCCGGATTGCTGACATGAGGGCAGTTGTCTATGCTGTTAACTGCAGAAGGGATAAATTATCAATTATTAGTGATTAAACGAGTCGTCTGAATGCAGTTTTTCCATTTCATATCCAATGACCACGAGAAGAACACTAACCCTCGGTGTGCATGCGCAGCGAGGGTTACAGTATACTTCGCCTGTCCGTCCATCTGTCTGTCTGTCTGTCTACACTTATTCTCACACTACAGGCTACGAGGCAGCCTATGAGCGATAGCAGCAGCTTCAGGGAACGAAAACATGAGAGGCGATTTTCCTGAAACGACTGCATTCCAGAGATATGGGTGAAAACAAGTGAAAAGCCAGCCAACATGCGTATGCGAGTGCAGTGTGCGATCGATCGCACATGTGCCCCCGCCAGTTGGCTATGTTGGCGCACAGGCGTCATGTCAGTGTTTTGCTGGAGCAGTTCTACAGGCTACGAGGCGGCCTATGAGTGATACCAACGGCTTCAGAGCTATGAGAGCATGACAAATAATAAGGCTGAAACGACTGCATTGACTGGAGACAATATGACGTGGAAACAACCGAGAGAGCTAGTATGCATGGATTACGTCGACCAGGTTTCTCCCACTCAGCGCATCGTGGAGGGATGTGTGTGCAGTCCAGTGTTGCTCTAACCGCTCGCTACCCACTGATGCAACTAGCCTGTGTTAGAGAGAGAAACTGGCTCCGTCGACGACGCATGGCCCAGCCCATCTAGCTAGTTTACATCAACGCCACAACGTGCAACACGCGCGTTTTGTGCCGAGGGTTTGCACTTTAGTGCTGAAAAGATGTTTTGCAATTGTGTTCTGTAGCACATGTGACTCACGCGTTGGCTCGCCAAAGCTACATTGCTAGTATATACATCTGCAGAAATTTGGAAAGCTATTACATACAAAAGTCTCAGGTATGCTAAGGAAAGGGGCTGCGTGCACATTTTGCTATTTTACGCTGAGCCCCAACCCTATCAGAGTGATAATCATTGCTTTGCGTGTATGCACTGAAGTTTGTAAAGGGTACGGAGATAACAGGCCCTTGTTTACATGGAGTAGAAAAGTTCACTACGAAAAAAAATCTAACACTCATTTTATCCTAGACCCAGTCCTTTATGTACCAGTGTTTGTATGCAAATATACTCTTAACCCCCCTGCATAGATTATCCACTGACACTCTGTTGCTCCAATAATCCCATTGTGTGTAAGAAACTCACAAATGGTGTCATTATCATTGTCAGGTGAAACGTGTGTGTCGCAGTCGTCCCCAATCCTATCATCATCATAGTCAACCTGGCCAGGGTTAAACAGGTGTGGACAATTGTCACAGGCATCTCCAATCCTATCATTGTCAGAGTCAGATTGATACAGGTTAGGCACTAATGGACAATTGTCACGGTAGTCCCCAACCCCGTCTGAGTCAGAGTCCACTTCATCTGGATCAACAATATTAGTACAGAAGTCATCAACACTATCTTGTTCCTGGTCTTGGTCTCTTCTAAATCTAGCAGGTTGAGTTGTACAGAGACTTCCATATGTACTTGGATCACTGGACAACTGGTCTGGATTGGGGTAATATCTACAGTTGTCACAAGCATTTCCAACTCTATCACCATCAACATCTGCCTGGTTGGAATTCGACCTCGTTGGCAGTT